GATGGAATCCCATTAATATTAATAGCCAGATTAGAAATCACCATAAACACAAGCCACTAGTAAAAAGTATGTAGTTTCTTATTTAGAGTGAGTTTAACATACCATTTAATTTAATTACCTTTTAAATACCTTTTTAAAATAGCTTTAATCAAAATACTTGTGTATTTTATTACATTTTAAAAAAAAAAAGGTTTTAATGAATAGTTTGTTTGGTTGCACTATATCTAATTCTACAAAAGGTCAAAGGACTCTGTTAACAACTAATTTTCTATTAATATTTCACTATTTTTATATAAATTAAAATTAGTAATATTAATAGTATGTTTATATTAATGACATTTTATTTGTATTTTTTTTACATTTAGTCAAATTTGGATGATTTACGGTAGAAAAGTCTATTAACTCTTTATGTCGATATTGAACCCATGGACATATAAAAATTTAGATGAAAAGGTTAAGAAGTCGACAAAAAATTTAATATCGTGATAATAACCTCTTTTGCTAACACGGCTAAGGTGGAGTACCCATTCAATTTTTTAGAGACTTTCCTTTTAATCTGTTCTATTAAATTTTTTATTGTTTTTTCCTATATTTATTGGGAATTCGAATTCACCCCTCTTGATCCGAGATTGGTACTTGAAGTATCCTCCAAATTGGAAGTTTTGATAGAAGTATATGTTAATTAGTTAGGCCCATACATTATTATTTGTTCTTAAATGATTGTTTTGTTGGTCTGGTTTCATATTCTTCCTTCCAAGTTTGCTCGTAAGATATAAGAACTTGGTTGTCCTTGTTTTCATGAATGTTATCCATAGAAATAAAAAAATAAAAACAAAAACAAAAGTATGCTAAAATGTGGTACCAGACATAATAGACTGTATATTTCCATTATTTTAATAGTGTTCCCATATTCGATTATCCATTTTCAAGTCGGGAGAATTTGAACCTCGGACTTATAGGTTGATAAATAATATCTTAACTAATTGATTAATTTCTATGTCATCGTAGTAAAGATATTTAATAATTAAGTGACTAGTTAGCATTGTGCCGACATGAACTTAGCTTAACTGGTAAGACATTGTTTAATAAAAAAAAAGACCAAGTCTGTGAAGCTCGGCTCGAACTGAGATCTGCTCGAGGAATGAGTTGAATGAGTGACCTGCAAAACAAAACACAGTCCGATGCTAAAGTCAGTAACTGGTCAAACTCAACTCGAGAGAGAATTTAGTATTCACGCGTACCCTGGAAACGAAGCGAATAGATCTATTTATAGGCGACTTCCCCGACAACGTTCTCGACAACACCTCAATGGCTCTTTAAAGTTGTTGTGAATCATGGCACATTGTCGTGGAGTCTGTTGGAGTCTGGGCTGAGCCAAAGTGAAGCTAGGTGGTTCATCCTAATAGATGAGAACGAATCTTTATGGAGTTTGGTCGGTTCGGCCACACAAGATGTCGGCTCGGCCGCGTAAGACAAAACCGAGGTAATGAAACTTCAAATTTATAGACAAAGGTGATAGTAAACTTTATACACCACATTTCACATGATATTCAGGTAGAAATTATTTAACAATTTTCGGTCATTTGTGGCTTATTTACATGCATAACTGATGTTTTTATAGGATCAAGCTATTAGAAAGAATTGAAGCATAAACGATCAATTGAGGGAATCTAGAGCGAAAAAGAGGAGCTTGATGAAACCACATCGGCGCCGCAGTGCCATCATTTAGCGCCATGGCGCGCCTGCAGGTCAGAATTGGTAGCAAAATCCCGAAGAAGCAGCACCACAGTGTTAGTACACAGCGCCATGGCGCCCTGCAGACGAAACTTGCACCCT